AATAGCCCTGGGAACATGTTTGACATTGTTTCATAAGTTAGCCAAATGGTGTGCAGGAGAAGTGACTTGGGACTTTTAATGGAGTGATCCATAATTGATGCTCCCATTATGGAAAATTCAGTTTAAGAGTATGTTCGAAAGATGATAAAATGAAGTAATTTAAAAGAAATGCAAATCTTTCTCCTTAGAGAAAACTGGTCTAATACAACCTAATTTTTACAAAAAACTTAGTCACCACAATTAGAGAAAATCTTTCCATGCAGAATTAATTAGATGTATCCAGTTCTTATAAGTGGATAATCCTGACTATTCAACACTGACGTTGGTACTGACAAAGGTAATTAAAAGAAGGTGATTTAGAATCATTGCATATGATCACGAGGAATATGACTAACAGAGCAATGAGGGATACATTTTACTCAAAACAAAATAAAGAGAGTCAATTCTTGTTTATCTACTAATGGATCATACGCTTCATGAATATTCTGCAGTCCCAGGAATACAGGAGTGTATGTCTCTCTCATCGCACCTCAAAATGAAGGATTTGGAGGGCATATTTTTGGCTTTTTTATTTTTTGCTATTGCTATAATGGCACAATGTAATAGAGCACAAACTTGACTGTACAAATTAGAAATAACATATGATTGTTCCGTTAGGCATTGTCACTTCTTCCCTCTTTCCCACCTTTTACTCTTTCGGTAATTCTGATCTTAAGGTGCACTAAGAAGTGGAACTTACATAATTCACAGTTTTTGCCTTCGAATCCTTCCAAGCAGGTGCAGATGTACTCCCCGAGGCCATCTCGACACTCGCCCTGGTTCTGGCAAGGATTGTTTTCACACTGGTCGCCATCTGCAAAGAAAGGATTTGGAAACCAAACTGTGCAGACAATTTCCATCCTACTGGAAGTGACTTGGCTGTGTTGATCTTGGCACACATTTTGCAAATAACTTGCATGAACCTGAAGTTGCTCCCTGTAAACAATGTCTCATATCTGGACTTCACAATTTATCACCACCTTTTGTGGCTCTGTGTACGTGATGTCCTTCTTTTGGGTATTTGGCGACGTTCTGCTTATTTAACTCTTTCGTGTGTACTGGTACACGACCCCACCACTCACATTTTCCACCTCTGGGGTTTGTAGGTTTGCTTTTGTAACGTTTTTAATACGAGCTGGCAGTGGGGCAGGAACGTCTCTAACTGTGGAAACTGTGTGTTGTTTGTGCCGTGATGCTGTGCTGAGCTTATTGCAGGAGGTGCTGCAGCCAGGAGGAGGGACTGCGGATAACTTTTGTCTCTATTCCCCCCATACAGTGAGACAAGCCTTGTAAGTACATTTACTGTTTCCTTTGTGTTACCGGGAAGGTGCCGTTTTCAGCGTTAGGTAATATTCAAGTGTCTAAGTTATTTTCAGCTGAATTACACCGTAAACACGCATCCTTGACATACTTCATGTACCCAGGTACACACAGATACCAATTACGGTTTTTGGCCGTTCGGAATTCTGAAC